CAGAGCTGTTACTCTATTCTCGCCCAAACCTTCGAGTCGCCCAAAGATCTTAGCAAACATGAAGTGTTGTGATTATCAAGAAGCGAGGTTATCAAAGCAATTATTAAAGCAGCCTTATCACGTTCCATGATTCAAGGAACTCAATTGAAGACGGTTGAACGACAAATAGTAATGACAGCAGTTAGAAAATGCAGTTCCATGACAAGTTGGTCATTAACGAGGAAAGTGGGCAGTTATAGAACGACCAAGCAGTTTTTAGGCGGTTGATCACAAAGAGATCATCCAGAGAGTATAAAGGGAAGGAAAGATATAGAGCAAAAGGACCGAATCAAAAACTCTCGAACAGAGAATATGTAATTTTAAATTTCTTAGATTAAATTTAAACACTTCTTTCAGTAACTCGTGTGCTTGCGCCCCTTGAAAGCATTCTATTTTTAATTTTTGATTGTAAAATCATTGCCAATAAAGAATACCCCTTTTTGGGACTTTGTCTCAAGAGGTTTGTCCCTTACACAATCGTCTGATCCCTTTTTAATTGTTAGCGACGAACCCGCGCGAAACACATATGTTACAACATATTTATCCTTATTTTTCCCCTTAACATGTAGAAAACATGTCTGCAAGTCCAAGGTTCGGTAGAAAATTATGGTTGCTGATTCTTGTTTGTGACTCTACAGTCGTGCTCAATTTATTGTGGTTCATTCATCTTTTATTTTCTTACACGCAATTTCCATTTGTTTAATAAATTTGTTGAAGCTTCCAAATTATATCTGAAACAGTTTCAGCAAACGATTTTGTTGCCATTAAACACTCTCCACAATATTTTTCGGTTGTATTTAACTTTAAGAGTGTGTTTGATTGACATGGAAAATATTACCTAGAAAAGAAAATATTTTCCATCTTTTGTGGAAAATAAAAATCACCTCTACCCAAGGAAAATATTTTCCTTAAAAACAAGGAAAATTAGTCATATTTTCAAGAGTTGGAAAATGTTTTCCATGAAAAAAATAGCAATCAAACACTCAATGTAATTTGCTCCGTCATATGCACCTTTTGAATTAACTAACTAAATAAATTTATCAAAACGTCATTACATTCTGCATTTTGTCTACCATGTCATTTAGTTCATTTGATTTCAAAATAGTAGGGTAGCACATTAAGATATTTGAAAAATATATGAAATTTAATGACAATTGGAAGATATTTGAGAAATTTTAGTAACAACTTTAAAAGTTTATAAAGTTCAATGTTAACTGAAAAGATTTGTCGAAGTTCAATGACAATCAGAATATTTAAATAGAATATTATATTTGTCATTTTATATTTTTTGGTTTTTCCGACGGCGAAGGAAGAAATTTTTGAAGCCAAAGTCAACAAATGTGACGAATGACGTTAACACAAGTTCTGGATTGGATTCGATTAGTGGGAGTACTACATTAATTAGGTTCAAATTCGATGAAATTAAGGCCGCAACAAAGAATTTTTCTTGGGACAATATAATTGGGAGAGGAGGGTATGGGAATGTGTACAAGGGAGTGTTACCAGATGGCTCTGAAGTGGCATTGAAGAGGTTCAAGAATTGTTCTGCTTCTGGTGATGCTAGTTTCACGCACGAAGTGGAAGTTATTGCCAGCATTAGACATGTGAATTTGGTGGCTTTGAGAGGGTATTGTACAGCGACAACTCCTTACGAAGGTCACCAAAGGATAATTGTGTGTGACTTGTTGAAGAATGGGAGTGTTCATGATCATCTATTTGGGTTGGTCGAGAAGAAGTTGAGTTGGCCTATACGTCAGAAGATAGCGCTGGGGACAGCTAAAGGGTTGTCTTATTTGCATTATGGTGCACAACCGGCGATTATCCACAGAGATATTAAAGCCAGTAATATACTCTTAGACGAGAGGTTTGAGCCTAAGGTGGCTGACTTTGGATTAGCAAAGTTTAACCCAGAGGGATTGACTCACTTGAGTACTAGGGTGGCTGGGACAATGGGATACGTGGCACCTGAATACGCTTTGTATGGACAATTGACAGAGAGAAGTGACGTTTATAGTTTTGGAGTAGTACTTCTCGAGCTTTTGAGCGGGAAGAAAGCTCTGGTGGCAGTTACTGATGGTCAGCCCACACTCATCACTGATTGGGCTTGGTCTCTGGTTAGGAATGGTAAAGCATTGGACGTCGTTGAAGATATGCCAGATTTGGGTCCTCCGGTTGTTGTAGAGAAGTACGTGTTAGTGGCTGTTCTTTGTTCGCATCCGCAATTATATGCTAGGCCGACAATGGACCAGGTTGTTAAATTGTTGGACACTGATGTACCAGTTCCTTCGATACCGGGAAGACCAATATCTGTCATTGCAAATATTGACGATATTGAGCGTTTAGCAAGCAGCAGTGGTTCTGGTAATTTGTCGACGCCTGCTGGCTATCAGCCTTATACTTTTGATGAAGACTGTCCTCAGATACCCAAGGAAGATAATGAGAATTCTAGTGGTAGGTAATCTGTGAGGTGAAACTGGTACATTATGTGAAGATGTCAATTGAACTCTATACTGAAATTTGCTTCCTTGAAATTGCTATGTAGCTCATTCTTTTGTTCATTTAGATAGATTGAGTGAAATTCTGTGATCTGGAATCACTAACACCCTTTTGTAGTGTAAATCGAGGTTTACTATCAATGTTTATTCTGCTTAAGAGAATTTCGAAAAGATCTGGATTTTTGTACAAGAGCTTCTCACTGCTGCTGAATCTTAACGTGTGTTGCTGCAACCAGAATGAGCTGTAGGTCTCATGTTTAGGCAGCTTACTTTGGTTGAATGATGCTTTAACCTAATATACGCAAATAGAGGTGCACTCGTCTCGACTCCTTCTAGTGGCCCGAAATAGTTGGAGATTTTAGATATTACGAATATATAACAATCTATTTCCTTGTAATATGATGTAAATAATGTGCATGGGAAAGTATATTATTATCTAATATCGCTGGTGCTTAACACAATGCAGATGGCAGTAGGGCCCATCTTTAATTGTTCATTGAACAATTAAATTAGAATTTTTTCTACCTTCTACATTGGTGCTAATTAAGTACAGCTCATCTTAGGCATTACTATATAGAAATATAGTTGATAGCGGATCCTTATCCAATTGAATAATTCTATTCATTACTATTAATCATTAATAGTCCAAGTCATTATGACTCTCTTCTTCATTGTCCATTGACTAATTTTGTACATTATTATTGGCGATTACAACGAGTCCTAATTCATTATTGATTAATGAAAATGTTCATTATCACCTAAACTTGTAATGATTGTGGTTAATAACATTATTCTATCCTATCCAATTCAATATATTTGGAAAGTAGTAGTAATCTACGAATGGAATGACGAGTGACTCAACTATTAATGTTGATATAATAATCTCATTATTTAGTTGATAGATTTCCACGCTTCACTTGTTCATTGGTGCAAAAATGTACAATATTTCACTACTTTGTGCAGAAAGTTTGAAAATCTTACATAATTAGATCAAGTTTCCAAATTATCTTGGAACATAGAATAGTGATTGCCAAATTCATGCACATTGGTATTATAGTTAAAGAAGTTTAACAGAATTGATAATTAATACATGTGAATGGATAGTTAAAATTGTTCGGAAACAACGAAAAATTCATAATAATTATAATAATGGACTCGCATTGACTACGTCTCTTCATTTTACACAAGAAAAATGCTGTCAACGAATCTGATTCGCTGCCAGCTACACGTATACATATGACCTGTTTGAGCCACATTATTCAAAAAAAATGCATTCTTAAATAATGATTTGATATCATTTCAATCACACATTCTTCAATAAAATAATATTACATGCAAATCAAAAAATTTTCTTATTTTTTAACCATACATTTTCCATCAATACACTATTCAAAAATGCATTATTATTAAAATAATGTGGCTCAAACAGCCCTATAATGAGTAACCTTACCCTTCATACACATAAAAGGTAATCAGTCCTTTGCCTTTCACTTGTTTATATTATTTTCAGAACTTTCATTTGAGAGAAATTTCACTCTAAAAAATATATTCTGCACAGTGATGGTATCAGCATCCGATCGTCGCTAAAGCCCAAAGTGAGTTTTTCTTCAGCATTTTTGTTTATTCTTATGCATTCTTATGTGTTTATGCTGCCATAAAGTTCAATGTTATGCCAGAATCATAAGAGAAGAAAGAAAAAGAAAATATCAGTATTTTTCTGTGATAATTATTATGATAGTTCTTTTATGCAAATAAAAAAATAAACTTACCTTTATTTCCGATAAATTTGGATTGATTTAGTGCTATATCTATTGTAAGTTATACCAAGATCAAATATTACAAAAAAATTATGATAATATCATTAATATTTACTAGATTTTTTGACCAAGTGCATGTTTGGAAAGTATTTATAAACGACATAAATTATAAATATATAAAAATAAGTGAATAGCACTCGTGATCATCCTACATATGTATAAATAAAAGTGATTTGATGCTCCCAGGCATAGCCTAGTGGTGCAAAGGATATGAGTGATGTTATCTCACGTCTTGCTGGCAGCCGCAGTGTGGGGATTTGATTTCTAAAATATGGAATTGGACTCCTTGTAGGCGCAGTGTACATGCAGCTCTTATTCCCTGACCTGCTGGGAATCCCGCAATTTACCTCCCTTATAAAACTTTAGAGACGAGACGGTAGAAACTTTCAAGGTTGGGGTTCAATCTTTTAAATAAAAATGATTTGATTGATTATAAATTATTTATGAGCATAAAGCAAACATTGGAGAATTGGTAGGTGAGAGCTTCAACTTTGGTGGTAGGTGAAGATATCTTGTCAATTTGATTGGTGTGGCATCAGGATGACGAATTACATGGTGCATGAAAAACTAAAAGAACCAAATTATCGATTATTTCTCAGGTTACCTTGCGTCTATTCCATATCATTAACATCCCAATACACCGTCGTAGGATTTTAAATAATCTGGATTGAATATCTCGTGACTTTTAAAAAGTCCATATCGCAAACTGTACTTCAAGAACATTAAATATAAAAAATCTATTGGCATTAAAATAAACAAAATTACTTAAATTTTGGCCGGGGACAACTAGATTTAGCCAGCAGCCAACCTGTAAAGGATCCATCAGTTTATTTAATTTTAACCATATAGTGTACAAGACATATTTCTGTCTTTTTTGGTGGAAACTTGTACTAATAATTTAACCTAGTTATCTCGCCAGGTTGTAATTAGTGGATACGAATATTAATAGCGAAACATAGTGAATCTTTTCTAAAACTGGACTTTAGCCTTTCTTTAACGTGGCTCTGAACTAGAAGGATTAACTCGAAATATTCAATCCAGCACACTTTTATGCTTAAGTCACAAAAATTGCTTGCTTATTAATTCATGAATTAACAAGTCAAAAAAGAGTAGTTTGAAACTTGATAAATTTAAAAAATTAACCATAAATCTTCCCTTAAGATTAAGCTTCATTCATGAACTTGCTTGCTTTACTTCCATACGTATCTTATTGGCATTGAAGTCATCCACGGAACTTAATTCCATGTGTTGTATAAAGTTTGTCTCAAGTGGCATATTTTATAATTTTAAGCTTTTCGAACTATAATAACTCAAACTTCTAGACGAGATATTCTATTTTCGTATTGCTCCAGCCAAAAACTTTCTTGTTTGTCTCTTCTATTTTTAATGTTTGCTGTTTGAGTACATATCTTGAGGGCACTTTTCTTCTCTAGGATATATACACAAACGAACAGTATATTCACTTGGCAAGTGAAGAACACAAGAAGAGTATATTCACTTGGCAAGTGAAGAACACAAGAAGAGAGCCATGTCTAAGAATCAAGATATAGAGAGAGCTGAAAACAGTTTGCAGGAAGATATTAAAGTTCCACTTGTTTCACAAGAGAAGAAACTCGAAAATGGCAATGTAAAGGAGGAAAGATGCATGGTTTACCTCACTACATTTGTTGCAGTTTGTGGTTCTTATGCATTTGGATCTTGTGTAAGTGATAAGTACTTTTTTTTCGAGTTTCTTATAAGTTGTAAAAAAGTGTTTTATTAGTCTTTTTCTCATAATATGATCATTTTTTTTTTCTTTTTCACTTTCCAGGCAGGCTATTCATCACCTACGCAATCGGCCATCCGAGAAGATCTGAGTTTATCCTTGGCAGAGGTTAGTTAAAGATGTACTAATATTAATGACAAGTACTTGTGACTTATCATTGTACTGTATAGTGCGATCCAACACTTCGTCTTCACTAGGATTATCTGTCTGAATTTTCTTACACGTACTTGGAGTTCATTCTTGTATACTTTTTAAAGAATTCTTAGGTGTTGGAATCTTGATTTTCTAATAGATCATCGCAGCATCAGCTTGCGATAATTTATACAAAAGTCATTACTTAAGCATTTCTTTTTTATTCCTTTGTTCTGCAGTACTCATTATTTGGCTCGATACTGACTTTTGGAGCGATGATTGGGGCGATTACAAGTGGAAAAATTGCTGATTATATAGGTCGTAAAGGGGTAAGCTTGAAGAGATTCTAACACATCTAAGAATATCAACCATTATTTAGAACTTCCTCTCGATTAATTTAGGTTCGTTTGATATGAAACATAAGCAGGCGATGACAGTATCAAGTGGATTCTGTGTAGCAGGCTGGCTGGCCATTTACTTCGCCAAGGTTTATATTACTAAACATTCCGAAACTAATTTCTTCTAAGAGTCGCTAATGATCAAATAAGAATACAGAAAAAGACATATCTGATAAAATTCTGAATAATAACACCAGGGATCTCTGCCTTTGGACATTGGAAGATTGTCAACAGGATATGGAATGGGAGTCTTTTCATATGTGGTAAAATTTTGTTTCCATTATAGATCAAATGACGCGTTAGGACTCCTTTTTTATGTTCAATTTTCATAATTGTTAGGTACCTGTGTACATTGCTGAAATTGCTCCTAAAGATTTACGAGGAGCTTTGACAACCATAAACCAGGTGAAGTTCTTTATTACGTATGACATCAGAAACGCTAAAACAATAACCGCAAGTTTAGTACATGACCGTGTTGGGTACTAAAATGGAGCTCTTACCATAAAAATCTCAAGTACACGTTCTCAACCAACTCATTTTTTGCTTCTTGATCCACAGCTAATGATTTGTACTGCAGTATCTGTTTCCTTCATCATAGGCACATTTCTAACATGGAGGGCTTTAGCAATAACAGGTGATAATGCTTGGCGTAATTCACACATTCTGTTATAAAATGACTCGAGAAACTGGGTTTTTCAGAATAGAGACATACGATAAGCGAGATATGAAAATAAGTAATCCTGTCGAAAATAAGCACTTCTTGAACTCTGCAGGAATAGTCCCATGTGCTATTCTCCTTGTTGGCCTAGTTATCATCCCAGAATCTCCAAGATGGCTGGTAAGAAATGCTGTTTAGATGTATATCTCGTGCAGAATGATCGAAATCTTATTAAAAATATACTCAGGCGAAAAATGGAAATCAAAAAGAGTTTGAAGCAGCATTACGAAGACTTCGAGGCAAAAATGCTAGCATATCTGAAGAGACAGCTGAAATCCAAGTACAGACTTCTAAAATCCCGACTTCCTTATTAATTTTATACGCAAACATTATTTAATTTTTCTTTGACAGGATTATATAGAAACTCTAGAGAAACTTCCAAAGGCCAAACTACTCGACTTATTTCAAAAACGATACCGGAGTTCCGTCATGGTAAATCTCTACTTCTGTTTCTTTTTTGGGATATTTGATGAGTTAGATAAGATGACACTAGACTATTTGAAGAAAGAAAAAAGTAGCTAAAGCTTGTTTATTACACTATCCAGATTGGGGTTGGACTAATGGTCTGTCAACAATTGGGAGGAATCAATGGAATCTGTTTCTACACCAGCAGCATTTTTGAGTCCTCAGGTACATTTCTGATCAATAGCTTCTCTATTTATAATCTTCTCGAGCAAAATCAAAATTTTCGATACTAATCTCAAACGAATGATCTGTTGTTTTCACCTGCAATTTCTCAGGATTCCCAGCGAACATTGGAACCATAGTTTATGCCATTCTTCAGGTCAATACCCCAACAAAAGAATCACTTTTTATGAGAGATTAGTGCATTCTTTTGTTTATACTTAATATCCTTTCCAGGTCATAATCACTGCACTAGGTGCAACCTTAATAGACAGAGCAGGACGAAAACCGCTTTTATTGGTAAATATCACTATTGAATCTTTTAACGCATATTGTTACATTATTCACTATGCAAGTACACAATATGTCTTTTTCTTCAGGTTTCTGCGTTCGGCCTAGTCCTAGGTTGTCTGCTAACAGGGAGCTCCTATTATCTCAAGGTAAAGATTTAACTGTTCAGCTTTCATTTAAACCATTCCCTTATCATTTTTGTCAAAAGATTGTCATTTGGAATGGGCTATACCATGTAACAGGAGCAAGGAATAGCAGCGAATGCAGCACCAGCACTAGCTGTGACAGGCATACTAGTAAGTCCACCCCCTCTCCTCGATCAAATTGGAATGAACTCTTCATCTAAGTCGAGATGATATTCCAACTCAGGTGTACATAGGAGCATTTTCAGCTGGAATGGGAGCAGTTCCTTGGGTAGTGATGTCCGAGGTATGATGACTTGATAACCTCATGATCATCATACATGAACACAATCATTTAGTCTAATAATCGTGTTCCTTGTAGATATTCCCCATAAACATTAAAGGAGTTGCAGGAAGCCTTGCAACATTTGTGAATTGGTTTGGCGCATGGGCATGTTCTTACACATTCAATTTTCTTATGAGTTGGAGTTCCTATGGTAAGCAAATGTATCAATATTGCTATATGATCCAAAACAAAAAGGCAGTGTTAGTTTTAGTCTAATTTACCCATGTAACGACCCGACTTTTGTGCCTATACCGTTATATCATACGTAAGTCTTTCAATTGGTACGAGAATTAAATTTAAGTTTCTCACAAGACAGAGGTCTTAATTCAAATCTTGGGGCACATAGAGAAATCTTGAGGGATAAGACAGCATATATTCTATCAAAGTGAATAGTACGTATAATATAACGGCTTGGGCACAAAGGCCGGATCATTACAACCATCCCACTTCTAGTCAGGACTATTGGGATTGCTTTACTATTATGAACAAAAATCTTTTTAGGTCTGTTCACAATCCTAACCACATAACATTTGTAATATAATTGTAGGAACCTTCATTCTTTATGCTGCAGTAAACGCGTTTGCCATTTTGTTCGTGATCAAAGTAGTACCCGAAACCAAAGGAAGAACTCTCGAACAAATACAGATAACGATAAATGCTTCATAAACGACTCAAAGGACTGAACTTTGGAGAGATCTATTCATAAAATGATATTCAAATGTTGGACAATTGTATCATTCAAGTTTTCTTAGATTATTTTCTTTGTAACAGGGCCAGAGCCTCAAGGCCTAAATTCAGCTATAACTCAAAGTCGAGCCTAAATTTAAATTTTAGCCCACCTTAAAATCTAATTCTATTTCATCAAATGGAATCATCTCTTTCATGTCAGTCACTAATAGATAGATAAAATCATTCACTTGTTTAAAAATTGACTCTTTAAAATAGAGAACATATCATGTGTATAAAATTTCTTAGACACTCTTAGCGTTTAAAAGTTTTGACTTTTTAAATTTAAAGACGTTCTCTATAATACACAAGATATTTTTAATAAATAGTCTCTTAAAGATGCTCTAAATATATATCCAAACAATATTTCGAACTAGCTCTATATTTTCTCAGTCTTAATATAGTTCGATTCTTATAATAAATACTCGGAAAAGCTACTTGTCTTCCAATTTTCTTAAGCATTTTTTCTGCCAATTCCAACATGTGAAAGCCTAATATAAAGCTGCCATATTACATTCTTGACTTCCATAATTTTGTAAGAAAGTACGACGAAAATATTGTAACAGAATATTCACAATCGGATCATGGTAAACACAAATCGACCAAGTTAAATCCTTGCATTACTTTCTAAAATATCTATTTATGCCTTTTCTAAAGTTTCTAGCCTGTTTTCCCTAATAAGGTATAAAGTCATAACAAGATAGGGACAGATGAAATTGAGTAAATGTCAAATGATTTTAACTCCCCTTGAACAAAGATCACTGTATCATTCCTCAAACAACCCGGCTCCAGTTTCTGACTATATACTCTTGAAGGATACTAATAATTGCGATAACAGACAGCGATCCGCTTCTGGATCAGTGTTCTGCAAGAAGGACAATCGTTCATCCCTTGCTTTTCATGCAGCACGTTGCATTGGGTGCAAAGAACCTGATGCGCACATGGGAGGAAAACCACTGAAATTTCCTCAGTCATACACATAACACATTCCCTTTCGGGTTTGACACTTCCAGCCCCAAATTTGTCCTGAAAGGTGGAGAACCCTGTACCGTGACTTCCCTGAAATGTAGAGGCATAACCCGGATCAATTCCCCTTTTCAGTGCAGCTATTTTTGAAGCTTCAGACTCAAATCTCAATTCAGAGATCATATTCTCGAGTTTTTTTATGTCGTCTTTACACTTTTGGACATCAAGCTCCGCCACCTGTTTCAGGTCATCCTCCTCTGCCTTTGCTAAAGCATCCTCTTCTTCTCTTTTCTTCTTGAAGGAATCAATGTGCGATACAGCTGTTCTTTTTTCTTGTTCTTCTTGCCTCCAAAGAATCTGAGATTTATTTTGAATAAGTTTAAGCTCTGATACAAGGCAATCAAATTAAACGAGAGTTGTGGAAGGCAAAATCAGTTCTTTCACGCAAACTACTAACAGAGCACATAAACATTCAAAGTTCCAATCGTGATACGCCCAAATGAATTTGACTGGAAACAGTAGTAATCTCAGTGCCAAAACGTGTTGTGACATCCCTATATGTCTTAATCACTATGTGTTTGTAAGTATGAGGCATGCCTGTCATTTTATATGTGTTCAATTTTTTACCATTGTGTAAATGCAACATCTGACAGCACATATTGGTAGACAATGGAACACTTTCAAACAACTAATGTCCAAACCATTATGATTATATGCACTAACCATCCATTACATATGCAGAATGTACATAAATAGGAACTGTTATTCCTCGGAAGAGCATACCTTGAAATTGTCCTTTCGTTCTTTAGTCTTTTTTAGTTGATTCTGCAGATCAGCAGCAAGGCGTTTTAGTTTAGTCCGTTGTTCGAGAAACAAATCCTTCTCCATGTCCCAGGATTTGGACTTCTTCAGAGCCTCTTGCTCCCTCAACATAGCTTCCTGCAAATTAGTAGCAGACCCTAGAGCCTGCAGTTTAGCAGCCTCCATTTCTTTCCTCAATACAGAATTCTCCTCTTCAAGTCTTTGAACAGCGGAGTTAGCCACCTCAATCTGGCCAGTGGCATTAGACAATGCATACTCCATTTCAGAAAGTCTCTTCATGGTATTCTCCTCCAAAATTTGCTTCTCCTCCTTAAATTTTTCAGTCTCTTCTTTCTCTTGCCTCAGAATTTTCAACTCACCTCGGTCTTTTCTCAGCCTCCGAGCAGCCTGCATAACCTTCTCATTGGCCCAATCTGTCCAACCTTGGAGCTCCTTCTCAAGTGCTTGCTTATGAGGCACTAGTATCAGTAAGGTTTCCTCTTTGTCATCTTGAGGAATGTAATTCTGGAGAGATTCATCATATGGGATTGCTGCATAGTAATCAGTAGCACTAGAAGGACCAGATTTGTCAATTTTGGTGTTAGAAGAAAGTTCGGATTCTGAAGATGCAGGAGACTTAGCGTATAATGCAGGTAATGCATGATCATTATCTTTAATAGGCAAGGTTCTTGTATCTTTAACAGGCAAGGTGCATGAAGGAGGATGACTCTTCATTGCGATACTAGAGGAATCAGATTGTGATTTCAAAGTCTTGTCCAATACCATGTTGCCCCAGGCAGCAACCTTTGCTTTGAAAGCTCCCTTAGACACACAACCCTTGTAACTTTTCTCAAAGTTAAATGACTTCTGTCGAAGCATGTCTCTCTTGGAATTACCTGACAACCCTGTTCTACTACCCCCTGATTTTTCATCCAAAACTGTTGCTTGGGATGAAGTCCGAATATGCTCCTTAGTAATGCCTGAAAACTTTCCCCTTGCATCTTGAAAAGAAGACGAACTTCCTTTCTTAGGTCTAGACCTGGAAATTTTGGAGTTTGGCAACTGAGAGACAGCTCCTGCAGTAAGGTTTTTGGGCTGAGAACTTTGGATTGACTGTTTCGGATTATGTGGTTTGTTAGTAATTAAACTGCTGGTGTCAGACAGCTTGGGTTTAGATTCGGGAAATGATGATTCAGAGTTTCCTCCAAGAACTTCTGGCCCACAAATACCACCAATATAACCCAAAGAATCTTGCTCCACTGCGCATGCATATAAGAGGTTCAAATCACATAGTAAAAGACGCCACATTGCTTCTACAATAGTCAAAGATGGCTTAACCTCCCGAACAACATGTATCATTTCCAGCATTGTGTACTCTGCCAAACTCTGTAAATCCTGAAATACAGGAAGCCTCGGAAAATTGAACTCCTTTTCCCTCTTCAATAAAGCCAAAACTCCATCCACAACATTTGACACTGCATCTTTACGACCATGGTATATGCTGCAATTTAAAATGACCCACTCGGCAGTTTCCTCATTGTATCCGCATTCAACAATCTTCTTCACTGCACTGCGGAAAGTTGCAAGTAAATTGCTAGTTAAAATTTTCTCGAGCTGACATGTAAAAGGATCATCCCAATCGGAGGGGTGGAATTCTTCCACTTCCGGTTCCGCAACAATCTTTTCCGACCTCGACACAAGTGACCCCAACTCACTCAATGCATTCCGAAATTTTTCCTCCAACAACTCATATCTTGGGAATTCTGTCAGAGAAAAGGTTGATACATCAATTGGATTGTCTAGTACTAAATCGGATAAGAGCTTCCTCTTATTCCTACTTCCTTTCTCGGTGGCTGAAACATCTGATGATCCTTCACCATTCCCATGAACATTACCATTAACACCCATTCTATGCACACAAATTCTGCAATGCTCCAAACACTCAAAACAGCTATAGTTGACAATGCTGTATCCGGAGCACCCACTGGAAACAACATAAGATATTGGAAATAGTGAATTTACTCGACACAGGAAGCAACGTAATCTTAATTTTTCCAGTTCGTGATCAATGCAAAAGACACAATAATATTTGCAACCACATCAGGCACTAACTGAGAAGCAAAATCAGATAAAAATCAACAATTACCGCTCTTCTAGTGAACAAAAGCTTTTAACACATTATAATGATAGTAACATCGCTGAAAAAATCACGAGCAAAACTAATAGTCTTTGATTCTCTAACAATGAATGATGACGATCATACCAATAGACAAATAGAGAGAATAAACACAACCCATGTCAAACGGAATAAAATTTCACAGCTCGTGTCAATCCATAGTACGAATCCCGCAGCTCATGGGAATCAAGAAAGTGTGTTAATCAAACAAGTTATGGCAATGACATCAATGAAGATCCCACACTCGGGGCAATCAAGAAAACAATTCTAGGCAATCAGGGCTATGAACTCATGGCATTTAGAAAAGTAAACCTGCCAACCCCACAAGTTATAGCAACAAGGAGAATAAATTTTCAGAAATCATAACATATTCTAGCACAGAATTTTATTCTTATTTTTTATTTATTTATAAAATAGTGTTACACTTCATTGAGCATCAAAAGAGTGAATTAAAGTTTCATTCACAGAATTCTCAAATTTCTTCGTCTCTTCTACTCAAATTCGTCAAAAATAACAGTGAAACAGAAAAACATATTTTTGCGATCCCACTCAGTTAAACAAGCAAAAATCACACAGAAAATCTAAAGGAAAAAAATGAAAAAGAAATCATCGTAGAATCGCAAGAAAAAACCAATTTAACGACATGCTAAAGCTCAAAGACCCAAGAATAAATAACCCAAAAAATAAAAGAAAGAAAAAATAGTCACCAACAAAGAAGAATCCATATGATAGGAATGCAAATGGCGGGGGGGGGGGGGGTCAAA